TGCTTTACATATATACAGCTGGGTTATCTTTTCTTTTACACTAAAAGGATAGCACTAGTATGACTTAAAGAGACACTGCAAGCTTTAAATTTACACTGAAATTCTTTCTATAAACTCTTCTACCAAGGATTTTTTATAGTAGGTAGTGTATATTTGTCACAGACTATATATTTCTATATCATAGACTATATAGCTCATATATACATGGGTTTATCCTCTCTCTATATAAGATATATTTGCTCTACTGGAGGTCTCAGAGACTCGCGTGAATGAGATGTTAATTTTTTAAGGGTTTAATATCTGCTACTCTTCTCATTTCTTTTTGCATTCCTTTCAGTTTCTCTCATTTCAAAATGCAGCACTCTCTTAAATCTGTCCATGTGATCAATCTACTATGATTATAAAACTATGTGAATTTGAGCAAAAAAAAAAAAGATATTTTATCTCTCAATTAAAATCATAACACGGGGGTAGAACTGGCTAAGGTGTGCAGTGATTATTACCAATTTTGTCAGTCATTCAGAAAATGACTAATGTATTTTCCAGGAAAAGTCTGCACTGGAATGAGATTGCTACAGTTAGAAAAGAGCCTTTCTTCTGAAATATTCTTTGCTGAAATGTAACACGCTCGTCTTTCAGTGTGAGCTGTTTCCTTGGCTCTCCTGTTACCTCTGCATCTTTTACTGGTTAGCTGTTCTGCACGTCTTTCCCGCTGTTCTGTATGTGCATTTTTTTCTTTTTCGTTTTCAGTCATTTTCATCATTGTGTCTGTGCCAAAAAACACATGAAGTTATTGTTTATTTTGTATGTCTGTTAACATGTATGTATTATGAGTATTATTAAGGTGTTATCATCAGTAATACCGTTCAACCCCCAGACAGATTTTAAGACAGAGGGGGCATATGATGTTGGTTAGGATTCAAGATGTGTGGGTGAAAAACTGCCTAGTCCTTTGGGGATAAAGGGTAGTGTTAAAGGTTGTCAGTTTGTTTGGTGTGTTCCTTGGGGCTTATTCGGTGTGTTGCTTGGGGTTTATTCAGGGAGGAGTGAATATCTTCATCAACAGCCTGGATTCACTCTCAGCAAGTTAGCCGGTGACAACAACTTGCAGGGAGCAGCTGACTGGAGCTCAAGTGGGAGGATTGGCCTGACAGAAACTTCTCAACAGAGTGAGAAGGTTGTGATGTGTGATGAAGTGTTGTGGTTCTCAACACAGTTGAATTTAAATCTTAGGGCAGAGGAACCCCCTGCAACTGTGCAGAGAGGGGACAAGCTGGCTGCGGGACGGCTCTTGGGACCCTGCTGGGCAGCTGGGTGAAGCTGTCAGCCCTGTGTCTTGGCTGGTAGTGAAGACTGACCGCATCGGCAGATGCGCATGACAGGCAGTAGCTATTCCCAGCTAGGTGGCATTTGCGAACTAGCATCCCCTGTGTCCTGTTTCGTCCCCTCAGAACAAGGAAGGGACTGAAGAAGCGGAGTTGGTCCAGGAGGGTCACTAACACGGTCCGCAGGCTGCAAGGAGGGGCTGCGAGACCTGGGCTTGTGCAGCCTGGGAGAGGCTCACGAGAGGACGTAATTGATGTCTCCAAGGAGCCAGCGGTGGTTTGAAGAGAGAACAGCCAGGCTCTCCACAGAGGTGCACGGCTAAAAGGCAACTGGCTCTGAACAGAGGTCCCAGCAAGGGAGCTAACAAATAGATACAAGGAAGAAAGTCTTTATCATGGGGAGGTCAAAGATGAGAACAGGAGCCCAGCGAGGCTGTGGACTTTCCATCCTTGCACATACTCAGCCCTTGACTGGAAAAGGCTCTGAGCAACCTGGTCTATCTTAGTTCAGCCCTATTTGAGCAGTGGCTCAAATGACCTCTAGGGAGTACTGCCAGCATAAATTGTTCTGTGATTCTGTCTGGACATAAACTAAGTTTTGTGAAATTCTCCAGTTTATGTGGTATGAGCATAGATGACAAGTAGTTTTGAAAGCATCAGAAATTAAAAAGTATTTCTGTTACTTTCACTCCTTATTTATCCTTTGTCTGTTTCTTTCACACATGACACATACTTTCCCTATGCTGTCCTCTTTCCTCAGGGGCATGAATTTGAATCTCTTCTTTACTACACTACTTGCTTTTGAAAAAAAAAAAAAAGTTTTTATTTTTGAGATCTCAACTCTTCTTTGATAAAGCTGGGTTTTTGCCACATTCAAGAATCATATCGTAAAAATCCATTGTAATTTCCTCCTCTCTTGCTAAAAATATTGTGGTCGGGAGCTAATGGCCAGGTGAACCACTGTCTGGTCTCTTGAAGGATGTTTGCTGGGTAGTTTTTCTGGCATTTTAACTTGGAAGAGCACAGATTGACCTGTTTGTGTGAGTGCTGAAGTACATATGCAGCAGTCTACACTCTAGCTCAGGCAGCCTCCACAGAGGGTGGTTTTTTCCAGTGCAGTAGAGCACTTCTTTCCGTTTTTTCTTTGTTTGCAGAAGAAACGTATCCAGTGAAATTACAGCACACTATAACCATTCTTTTAAATAAACAGAAAAAGGCTTTTAGTTATGAAAAAAAATGATATCCTATGTGCTCATCCTTAAGATGGGAATCCACTCAGCTCATCTTCTGAAGTAGCTCCGTCTTTTAGAAAAACAAAATTGATTGTGTAGTTAACGATAAAAGTTAACAAATACTGTAGGTGCTGTAACCTTTCCCTGCCTGTTAGGTTTTAACACTTATTGCCTAAAAGGTAATGCAGCTTTGCTCTTTTCTTCCCACAATTAGAAGCAATGCCTTGCTAACTGTGCTTCTTCAGAATTCCGACTATCTGCTAATCCTAGTTAAAAAACAAAGGTTGAATTATCATCCACCTATCAGCCTGCCCCTAATTGGGTTGTTTCTGTGCAATTTCTAAACTCGCTCTCTAACCTTGTTTTCCTGCAGAACTTTAACTGTTTCAGCTTAACATAAACTTAGGAAGAGACAGCACAGGCTAACAGAAATGTTTTTTCTGCAGGCAGTTACATGACTATCCTGAATGACAAAGTTTGAAAGTCATCAATAGTTACTTTTAAAACCTATGTGATGTTGTTCCTATTTTTTCACTGCTACTTCCTCTCTTGCATCACTTCTGTGATTCTCATGCTTCTCTGTAAGCCACCTTCTTTGAAAATTGCTACAACTGATTGGGCTGAACGATTTTTCACTAGGATGATAAATACTCAGTTTATTCAACTATTCATTCATTCAACTATTGCATCCATTCATAAGATGCCGTGTGTTACATCAGAGTCCCTGCATAGAAATGGAATTAAATGAGCTGCCATTTGTCTTGTCTGTTCACTTACATACAGTATAACTGAGCAGAGATGCATCTGTAGCTGTTTAAACTTTCTTTCTCCCATCAATTCTGTTGCAAAATAGCTCTACAGGTTCAAAAGGCACAGGCCATCCTTGTATGGCAGCTGCTCACGCAACAGGACAAAAACAACTTTGTTTCCTTTTCTACAAGAAGTGAGAGATCAGAATCATAATCCGGAACCAGCTCATAATAAATATGAAAAGAAGAAAAGCAGTGACAGACATGGAGTTCAAACCTGTTTCAGAAAGAATTTGTTGGCCTCTGAATCGCTCCTACTTATTTTCTCCATTTCTCCTTTTTCACCACTGCCAGAAAGAAACAAGGAGAGTTTTTGTTTTAAATCTATTTTTGATAACAGCTTCTTGGAGGGCTCCTAATTTGTTTATTTTTTCCCCACTTCTTTTACACTCTTCCTTTAGGTTTCCATGTCAGTCACCTGCAGCTTTCGTCTGTGCGTGGCAATTCTAGTATCGATACAGAGCACAGAATTGTTCTCAGTGAAACTTTCTAATCCCTTGCCCTAGGTGCTGGGAGTGTCTGCTGCTTTTGTGGAGGAAGTTAAAACTTTGTGGTTGGTTTGTGGTTGGTATCATGTTTACCTAGGTATGCTCCATGGACATGAAAAGTCTGTGCGTTGGCACTGTTATTTGTTCTGCTCATAATTTACCCCTGTTGGAACAGCTTGCTCCGGAGGAGGCTTAAAAAGCCTGGTTGTGCCAGAGCTTCAGCCTGGGTCACCTGCAGGTCTCACACTCTGTATATATGTATTGCTAAAATATTTATAAACCGTAAAGGTTCACTTTAAAGATGTTCTTTAAAGCTTCAAAGAAATGAAAGAATCAGAACTTCATTATCTACTTGGTTGCAATTGTTCTGAAAGTTAGACTATCTAAATTAAATCAAGAATTTATGGTTTTAAAGCTTTGAGAGAAATTCCTACAACTTCTAGATTGAAAAAAGCATTGCCAATGAAGTCCAGAAAAGACAGTAACACCTGTGCAAGTTGGATGATATAGTTGATATTGTATTTTCTCTCTTTCTCTTTTTTTTTTTTAATGCATTGTGATGTTGCACGGAGGTTTTTCCCTGTCAGATTTTTCATGAGCTCAGTATTTGTAGATTCAAAAGAAACCGGGTTCTGCCTAGGTACCTCTTCTTTCATTGCAGTTTGGTTCCCTCTGCCGTTTCAGGTCACGTGTGATTGTCTCTTCAAATCACTTGTCCTAAAAGAGAAATAAGCCAGGACACAGCATAGCTGTAATATCAGTGTCAGAGCAGGGACTAGATTAACGGTATTGTAACTAGGAGCCAGTATGTTACTAACACAGATAAGTTCCAAAATATGTAATGAGGCCAGTTTTTATAATCTCCATAAGAAAAAAAATGTGGTGCTTTTCCAGTCCATCAAGAAAACATAGTGGTTATAATTGACAAAAGCTTTACCAGACTATTCTTTGCTCACTTAAACATAAAAATGAATATATCTAAACAAAGATTAAATGTATGTTTGGCTTTTTGTTGATGGTGGTGATAGACAAGAAAAACAACTATCAGTTATCACTTGCTCTGTTTTTTGAATAGAACTAATGTTATTTTTTTGCTCTTTAAACTTTTGTGTTCATAGTAATTTCAGATGTGTGGTCCATTTACAGGTTTTTAATGCAAAGACAGCAGAGCTCTTGAGTCACCATCAAGTTGAGATTCAACAGAAATTCCCCAAGGAAGGGTATGAATTCTCTCCTTTTGTTTTCAATAGAACTTTCTTAATTTCATGTATGATTGATTAAAACCGAAGTTGCTGAATAATCAAGACCATGATATTGCTATAAAAGACTGCAAAGCAGGAAAGATGGCATAACAAGTATATTGATATCCAGTACGTGCTCTTAAGCCAGAAAACTAAAATTACTTAGATTTAAGTCACTGACCAATGATTAACCTGTCCTTGACAGTCTTTTTTAAAGTGGAACAGTGGCCATTCCTACAGTTTAATCATATTCTTTTGCTTTGAAATTTGCTTAGTTTGCTTGTTTTTTTCTTTGTTTGTTTTGTTTTGTTTTTGTGTACTTAATTGACTAGGATTTACCCATGAAACCCTCTGTATGGAAACAAAGCAAAACTAAATTTTCTATTTTCTGCAGACATTTTTGCTGTGAAAATACAGCTTAGCCTTTAAAAGGATTTTGGAAGTCATCATACCTTATCTGGATATGTAAAACATTGTTTGTAACTATAATTGCATCAAATATTCAGCTGGTTCTCATTCAGACTTGGAAACTTTCCTTCTTTGTCTTAAATGTATCTTCTGTTTGTTGTTGTTGTTTTAATCTATTAACTGATGTTTACTCTTTGTTCAAGATGGGTAGAACAAGATCCAAAGGAAATCTTAAAATCAGTCCATGAATGTGTAGAAAAGACCTGTGAGAAACTGCAACAACTGAACATTGACATCACTAACATAAAAGGTATTTCTAGCACTTAAGGGCAACTGAGGGCTTTAACATGCTTATGGCTGAGCAAAGCAGATTCCCTACTTTTAAGAAGTCAATGCATAGAAAGGTGGCAACATCCTGTGCCTTCAGAAAAAAATGTTAGCTGTTACAGTCTTGAGAAGTCATTCATGCATTTGAGCAATGCAAAATCTACAAAAACTAATTTCACTGTCAGTGTTGTTTCCATGTCATTTTTGTGGCAAAATCAGGGAGAAGGAGGGAGAGGGACATATACATATGCGTGTGTGTTTGTCTATATATAGTGTGTGTATATATATATATATGCAAAGCACATGAGTTAAGAAGCACCAGATGGTGCTGGTGTGGTTTTAAAAGTAATATTTCTAGACTATAACTTGAAAAAGTTGGAAGCATTTTATTTCCCGTTTACTTTCCTCTTCTCCTTACCTGTTCCTCCCTCCTCTCCATTCCACCCTGCCCTCCTTGCCCCTCAAAAGGGGAAAACAAACCTTCTGAAAAGGATCCTTCTTTCTGTTTTGTCCTGAAGCCATTGGAGTCAGCAATCAGAGAGAAACGACAGTGGTTTGGGACAAGACGACGGGCGAACCTCTTTATAATGCCATTGGTAACTACTGTACTGAATATGAATATGAAATATTGTCAAGTGAGCGTGTTGCAGAAAAATGCTTTTCTGATTCTGTGCAGATTTCCTACTAACTGCTTTGGTTTTGGTCATCTCTCTCGTAAGCTCTGAGTTTGTATAAGCAGGTGCAATTAGGGCCTATTTGTTACAGTTATTACTGAATGGATTAATAAATCGTTTTATAGGCTTTTAACAAAAAGGCAAGGCCTTGAGGGGTTTTGTGCATCATTAGCATGCAATGAAGCTCGAACTTATGCCAATCACCTCCTTTTAAATGAAGGAGCTTACCAAATTCTCAGGAGCTTACCTTTGATTTAACGTAAATGGAAAACAAAAAACCAACCAACCAACAAAACATTTTAAGTAAATATAATGAATACTTCTTGACTTAGATTTGCATTTTTAATTTACTGTGGCTTTGCCAGATTTTATCAGCAGAGAAGTGGTAATTGTCTGGGTTTGCGCTCTTAGCCCATGCAAATACTAGATAATTTAGTTTAGTGTAGTATCATTAAAAGAACAGGACTCTTCATGTTCAGATGTATGTTATTTACTACTTTATGCCAAGCTGTGCCTTGATAACTGTTTTAGTGCTTTAGTTCAAAGTTTTCATAGTAATAGTAAATAATCAACCTGGTGTTTGTTTTAACTTTCTAATTTTGACATTCATCTGCTATAAACTAAAAGGTATAGTTAGTCATTTGTTTACACTGTGGTAGGAAAAGAATATATAACCTATTACGTGGAAATCCTGTTTGGATTTATGAAATAATTTGTTTTTCTAAATAGAATGAGTCTTGACTGTTTTTAATTTTCACAGCAATCCATTAAGTATGCAAGGGCAATTGTACCATTCTTTCAGCTATTTAAAAGTAAAAAATAAAGACAGGAGTCTACTGATACGAACTTCAGGAGTTTATAGGAGGAGCTCATAAATGTCACCGTTCATATACTAAAGGATTTGATTAATTAATTTTATTTGGGCTTTTAGTGTGGCTTGACCTGAGAACACAGTCAACAGTTGAACGCCTTCTGAAAAGAATCCCAGGAAAAAATAAATCCTTTTTTAAGGTAACATATGTTTCAGAAAAATTAATTAGTAGCTGAACATTTACTGCTATAGTATATAATGGTTTTATAAGATGTGTGCTTAAAATTCCATGTAACAAAGTGACGTGGTTGTAGCTTTCAATCCCTTCTTAACTTGTCATATAATAATAAAACATGCATAGTACAATACACAAATTTAAGACTATATCTATTTTTATTTTCCTTGAGATAAATTGAACACTCTTCCTATGTAGCTCACTAGAGAAATTGAAAGGGTAATTGTCAGCAAGACTTAATTATGTGATTCTTGTTCAGTGATGATATCACTCCAAAAAATTAGGAGCGAGTACAAAAATTCTGATCTAAAAATCTATTTATTTATGTAAATATATAATTTCTTTCCTCATTATATATCTGTTTTACAGTTAATTGCAATCAATTTGCAAATAGGGAAATATCTTATAAAAAGTAATTATACACATATGCATATATATATTTGGAAGATAAATGCTTGCAAAATGGTGTAATAATTCTTTGCTTAGTGAGCATAGGCAGGAAATGGTTGTCAAAAAGCATATAAAGCTATTTGCCTTTTAAGTAAAAGTAGAATACAAATTCCATCTTTCCTGTATTGTGTTGCTCTTTTTTTTTTTTTTCTCCATCATTGTTTGTTGCCTAGTCATATGGAGTTATCTTAGATAAGATAGGACTTCTGCAAACAACTGTTTCCATGTAAATGGTCTTTGACCTGTGTTTAAATCAGCTTTGATCTTTGGCCATTAATGCGCTAATGGTTTGGTTTTGATATTTTCAGGCTTACATATCGTGTGCCTTTTGCTTATTTAGAAAACAAGATTGTGTAAATTCTGTGAGCTTTTTCACTTTTTTTTCCCTACTATTTTCATATATAACTGTAATAGTCACTTACATGGTCTTCACTTTTTTATTTTTTAATTTTATAGTTTAGGACTGGTCTTCCGCTTAGCACTTACTTTAGTGCGGTGAAACTTCGATGGCTTTTGGATAATGTGGAAGAGATTAAGCAAGCAGTTGATGATGGGAGAGCTATGTTTGGGACTATTGATTCATGGCTTATATGGGTATGTATTTATGAGTTTATTCCCACTTTTTTTCTTTTTTTTTTATGGTTTACCATTGACCTTATCATATTCATATTCCTAGCAAAGCATTTTCTGGTGGAGACAGGCAGAAACTAAATTTGTGCATTTACCTGCTGCTTTTAACATATTCTACCATAATCTTCTGAACAATTTTAGTTCAGACACAAACAATTTCAGTTTTCTGAACAATTTAGTTGTTTAGTTTAGTAGTTTAGTTTAGTCTTTATTTTAAAAAACATATTTTTTGTCTTTAGTTTTACAAGAGCATTCACTAAATAAGACCATTTTTTAGCAGATCTTATAGGCAGAATGATACAGTTCCAGTAAAAGCACTGTAACTGTAGTGATGCCCACTAATCATGCTTTCTCTTCAGTACAAACTTTTTAAATTCTATGATTTTTTTTCTGTCTCTCATGTTTTTGTTCCGTTATATCAGGGCAGTGAAGCTGGTGAAGGGGCTGGAGCACAGACCACACGGAGGGTCGGCTGAGGGACCTGGGGTTATTTAGCCTGGAGAAGAAGAGGCTCAGGGGAGACCTTGTCAGTCTCTACAACTACCGGAAAGGAGGCTGTAGTGAGGGATTGGTCTCTTCTCCAGAATGGGTGATGGACTTAAGGTTGGACTTGATGATCCTGAAGGTCTTTTCCAACCACAATGATCCTGTGATTAGGTCTGTCTCTTTAGTTGTTGTGAAACCAGCGAAGTTTAGAACTGAATTTAGAGCTTTGCAAATTTAAAACTTTTTGAAACTTTGTTGATGTAAACTTGTAACTTTTCCTGACTCATACTGCTAATATGCTTATTCAGAGTTTGACAGGTGGGAAGAATGGAGGTGTTCACTGCACAGATGTAACCAATGCCAGTAGAACAATGCTCTTCAACATTCATTCCTTGGACTGGGATCCTGAACTCTGCCAGTATGCTCATTTTTTCATTAATAAATTTAATAAGTAATACTTTTAAGGAACAATAATAGTAAGAATCTTGTCTAGTTTAAGATCAGCAATTATTATTTTATTTATTGTTACCATTAATAATTAAGGTTTATTGTTGCCTCCAAATGCTCAGACTACCACTATCAAACGTATTTAAGACAGAAGAGCCTTTTTTGTTGTTGTTTTTGTAGCTGGAAGGCTAGTTCATGGAAAGGATAACAGCCTGGTAACGGGAAAAAAATTGATTATTTTTTCTCCTTTATTTATTTAACAGCCTAATGTGTAAGACAGTTGCTACAATAGTGTCTGTAGAATTTTAAGTTTAGGTTTACCAATAAAAATATTATAAAGATATTGTTGTAAGAGGAATTACTTCCCACAAAGAAGAGTTGGAAAGAAGAGTTTCTTCAAAATACTCAAATATATACTATTTTACTTAATAATTCAGTATTGGGTACTATAAAAAGTGGAGAAGCAGGTAGTCATAGATTAAACTCTAGAAATCAAGGTTACCATTGTAGGTAACTTTTATATTTTAGCTTAACTTATTTAAGAAAAAAAATGCAAACTGTTTTCTGATTTAGCAGTAGTTGTATACATAACTTGCATTTTTGCATTGTGTTCAGGTTTTTTGATATTCCTATGGAAATACTTCCAAAAGTACGAAGCTCTTCTGAGATTTATGGCCTGATGGTATGTATTTTTTTGGTTTGTTTGTTTGTTTTTTTCATTTGTACATGAAGTTAATCTCATAAAGATAAAACCATATCTTAGCAGAATTAGCATAAAGAAAAACTTATGCCATTTTCTAGACCAGTATTGCTTGATTCATGATTATTGTGTCATTTTCTATTGCTGTGCAGTACTCCAGGAGGTGAAAATTTGTTGTTTTCTATTCCATCAAATAGGCAAAACAAGTTGTGAGAGATTCTGATAAGACTAAAAAAAATATTTTTGTTGTCAAATATTTGCTGATTTGGAAACTATCAGGCAGAATGTAGAAGTCATACTACAGTTTAATCAGTAGATTAAAAGTAATGAGATTTCTGTAAGTAAGGCACAATCTTTATGCTTCTTGTGCAACTGAAATATTCATAGAGGTGATGAAAATTGCTATGGAAGTCTTCACTGCCTGAGAAAACTAGACAAGATGTGCAATGTCTCAATTCCACATAACTGAAGGCAAGATTTAGCTTACACGGACTGTGAAATCACAAGTGACACCTTTGATTGCCTTTTTTTTTGAAAAATAAATTCCCCTTGCAGTGTATATTTATATAGCAAGTCACTTTAAAATCTTTTAGAGCATTGTGATATTTTCTTAATCCTGCTGCTTTCCACGCAGCTACGAATATTACTTAAAAGTGAATTGTCATGGGGTCGAGGTCTCAGGTTTACTTGTTTAGAGCATCAACTCTTCTGATGCTGTGGTATGTAACGTATTCTTTGACTAGGTAAAGGCATAAGAATAGAATATTATGGATATTGAGATTTTATGGAGCAGAAATTCTTTTTGTCCTTATATTTTTGTTATCCTGAATACTTGAAAAGTACATGCAAACATTTTGTAGTTAAGATAAATTATGAGACTTTTATGTGCAATGTAATTCTAACTTATATAAACTTGAAGTATTTTTACTAGTCTGTTAATGAAGATGCTGGTAGGAATCATAGTTGACTTCTGGTAATGTGAAGAGTTGGATTAGGAAGAATTGTGTTAGGCTGAGCAAATGAGGCAAATGCAAAATGAAGCTACATGGCAAATGAAACAAAATAGCTGCTTGTGGTAAATTTGGTAAATATGAACTTTTATTTCTCTTCCCTTTTTCCACCCATCTATTTTTTTTTTCCCTGACTATAGAAAATCTGTCCTAGCCTGGTGAGTAGTGGCTTTCATTTAGGCAGACCTCCCATATCTCACTCATTCTGTTCAGATACTGTGCATTTCCACTGATGAGAGGATAAGTAAAACCACATTTTCTAGGCCAATAAATTTGGCAAGTATATCCAAATGTGAGACATTAAAATTGGAGCTCATTTCAAGGATATTTCTTAACTGTAATGTTTGTTTATATGTTTACTTTAAGTTGCAGGATGTTGAATGTTTCCTCTTACAATGAAGTCACAAATACATCCACTGGTTAATGAATGTTGGTTGTCTGGTTCAATGAATGTATTTTTAATGCATTTATAAACTCATTTGCATTAAATCCAATTCATTAAAATTAGAATAAAAATTAAAAAAAGATTCTTACTGGAAATGCACATGCATGCCTTCACTGAAAATGCATTGTCACAGTTCCACAGAGAAGCAAATTACAGAAAGAGGTAAAGATTGACAGGGTATAGATTTCTTATGATACCTACTGCAAGAATGTAACTTAAAAAGCGTGTCTTAGTATTTGAAAGAAATTCTATATGGGACTTAATATGCTGTATTTTAAAATTAAGTGTCTATTATTAAAATTGCTTTTTCTAGTCACTTTACTATTTTTCACTTTCACATTTTAAGCTTGCCGTAGACTGCATGCTATTCTAAGCCTATTTTTCTGTACAGTATGGTTTTAACAAAAGCTATTTCAAGAACTATAAGGTGATATCAAGCATACCCATAAGTTTTTCCTGCTTTGTATTTTTTAGTATTTTAGGCATGAGGTGCATTAAGCTGAAGTCTGATGTACACCTGAGCTGAACAGTGTTGCTGAAGTGACCCTTCTTTGCTTCCCTGTAGACGTTAAAGCCACCTCCTTTCTAATTTTTTTCTCCTTTCAACTTCAAGGGAGTTATTTCCTTTTCACACTATTTCCCTTCAATGCATTTCTCCTTAAAATGATATAAAAGAAAAAAAACTCTGTACTGTTACCTATCCTGAATCTTAACTAAAAGACAGTTAGTCCTTGCAGAATAGTTAGTCCGTGCTATGTTCAGGTAGGAATTAATGCTTTTGATAAGCTTAATTTAAAAGGATTGACTTAAAGATTCACCTTCAGACTTCCCCTAGACAATTGTTTGTATGTTTTTTTTAAAAAAAATCTTTTTTCTTTTTTTTTTATTTTTTGCCTTGTTTGTGCTAAATTCTTAGAAAAACAAATGCTGCTACCAGAAGTCATTTTTCCTGTGATAATGTCTCCTTATATATCTTGTGGCCCCTGCCTACTTTTTCTTAGAAATTATCAGCAGTGAAAGAGATTTTATTAGCAAAGGTGACTGTAAAAATCACCTTTTTGAGATTCATCTACAGACTGCAAGAATGAAGTTTCTAGGTCCTGCCTACCATGATTTTGCCACCTCAAAAGTGATGGTAGAAAAAATGTTAACTGCAAAATGTTTGTTCTTATTTTTGTTCTTGGGTTGAGTTAGCCTCCATATCAGTAACTAGATTACATAGATAGATAGATATAGATAAATTTGAAGGATCTGCAGCTTCAGTGAAAATCTTTTGTGGTCTGCTGCTTAAAAAAAGAAAAGTAGAAAAAAATCCCTGATTTGGAGGCCACTTAACTAATTTAGTTGTGATTATAAGATAAATTTTGCTCTGGCATTTCAATAGGATAGCCAGTGCACAAGTGTGTTCACATGTACATTTAAAATGTGATCAAAGCACATGATTTAGTTCCTATGTTGATAGGAGCAGGATTAAAGAATGGGCCTCTTAGGAATGTTCCAGGGTCTCTGGATATTTTAAAAGATTATGGATATTAGAGGTAAGCAGGTTACATTTATTGGTCCGTGCCATTTTCATACATGACTGTCATCACACTAAGATGATACTGTGGTGTTGCAGAGCTTGTAAATGTTTCTGTTGACACTATGTCTATTTTTGCCTATTAGACTCTTTATTCCTGTAGGTTTGGAATTCTTCATCTATTAAAACCTGAAATTTGACTTGCAATATTCAAACACTTCTATTGTAAACATACTTTAAAAGCAACTTTTCAGACATTAGAAACACTGCTTTTACATGACTGTCCATTCCTGCATGATGTAGGGCCTTGTTTCATCTGTTTGTGTCTACATTTGAGGTACACATTTTCCTTTCAAATACAAGTGTAGATTATTTCTCATTACAAATTGAAATGTTGGAAAACTAATTCTCTCTTTCTTTCTCTCTCTCTCTTTTTTTTTTTTTTCTGTGAAATCAGAAGTCAGGAGCTTTGACGGGTGTCCCAATTTCTGGGGTGAGTTCTGCTTCAACTCAAATCCTGACATGAGAACCTGATAGTGCATGAATGTGTCTTCACTGGAAAAACACCTTTAACATGGATGAATCTTGCTACAAATTAAGTTGATGATTATATACATAATCTTTATATCTTTATATACTTTTTTTTAATAAGATAAGCTAATAGTAAAGAACCTGCTCAGTTACTAAAATAAGGCCTGGATTTAAATGTGTACTCAACAACTTTTATGTGTTTTTTATAGTTCTTTTGGAAACTTAGGGTCTCCAAGTAACATCACAAAATGGAATCAAGCCATATTGCATATATAAAGTGAGCTGAGGATACACATTATCCAGAAATGTGGGACAGATTCTGAGTTATTTCAAATATCATATACATCCAAATAGTGAATTTAGTTTTGGTTTCTTTAAATTGTTCACCATGACTAGCATGACTCATTTTCACTTGTAGTTCTTACACGGAGGAGAGTAGTAATATACACATTGTCTCTATAGATTTCCCTCAATTTCAATTACATGAGCGCTGCTAGTAGGTTACAGTTAGAATTAAATATATCTGCTCCCGTTACTTGTTCACACATGTGATTCATGCACAGACATTTGCTAAAGAATCCCTCTCTTTTCAGTGTTTGGGTGACCAGTCCGCTGCCCTTGTTGGACAAATGTGTTTTCAAGATGGGCAGGCAAAAAACACGTAAGTTATTACAGAAGTTTTGCAATAAACAGTAGGTCAGTCACTGCTCTGTTTTGAATTAACTATGTTCTCTTTCAGTCTAACTGCAAAACATGTTTGTAGTTACCACATAACTGCAGCACTACCTTTGGACTGTGTAGGCCTACAAAGTAAACATGTCCTGACTTTCATATAAAATAATAAAGATTTTAAATTGTAAGGTACATTTTGGAACGGAGTGTTTGTGAGGAATCATTTCTATGGGACAAGAGGTTTTTCATTCTAAAATTCTGCAAGACACAAACTAAAGCAGTTGCTAATATTTAACATCAGTGACCTAAGCTAGCTGTATGGAGGAGAGCACATAAGTTAGGTTGTATAGATGTGAATGACAAGAAATGTAAAGCATTGCTAGATAGGAAGGATTTATTTATGTTCCAGTGCTTAGTTTGGGTTCTATGTCTAGCTTAATGTGAAGATTTGTTAATCTGCTTTTTTTTTTTTTTTTTTTTTTTTTTTTTTTTTTTTTTTTTTCCCCCCTCGTAGTTCTCAACCTCTTAGTGTCCCTTGTTTAAAACACCTATCAGTTAAATCAGAGCACTGGATTAATTGAACATGTGTTTGAGGAAGCGCTCTCTGTTTAAGTGACTCACTGTTCCATTTACAATTGTGTGCTTAACTGAGCGTGTAGGTAAACACGCAGTATTGGACTTTCACAGATTTAATTACACATTAATCTTTGCTTGTTTCTAATTAACTTTCACTTTAGCTTTTACGTTTGTAAACAGATTTAATAGTTTAATAGTTAGTGGCCTTACATTTTAATAAAAGAAATATGAATATTGTGAGAAAGTATATTTATAACACACGAGATCTTTGGAAAAGAATCCAGCTAAATTAAAAAGTAATAGTTGAATATCAGATTTTTTTAAAAATTATGTGTAATACACTGTTACCTCTTATTCTCTCCAAATATACCTCAATATATTATTGAGAATTTTCTCAATAATATTTTACGTTACTGCTTTTCAGAGCATTAATAATAGTAAGAAACAATTATTTAGAATAAGTTAGAGTGGATCATGAGTATTTTTATATGTATTCTTATATTCCTCTTAATAAATTATATCCACACACATTGCGTGTGCATGTATGCATACACACACATGATATGGTCCTTCAAATAAGAAAAATGGGATTTTTAGAAATATTTGATCAGAATATATTTACTAAAAAAAAATTTACTTGTGACAGGAACAAAGATTCTTAAACTTGATCTTTTAAAAGTTTGAATTTAATTTTGTGCAGTCCTTATTTTATAAAGTAACTTTCCTATCAGCTTAACTGAAGTAAACGTTGCCACCAAAGAGGAATACCCTCTTAGTTTTCAGCCCTAATGTTCCTTGATCCAGTGACTGGACAAGAAGTTGTCAGCCAGGAAGAGATGGCTGGGATTAGATCTTTCAGCTGTAGCCTGCATTTGGATCTACCTGTAGAGGAAGGTTTTATGATCAAATAGCAGTGCATGGCATCCAGGGGGAAAAAAAGAGTGGTGTCTTGATCCTCTGCAGTGGAGTCATGGATGCCCAAACTGCAGGAATTGGTTATCCTTTAAACACACTGTTTTTAACTTTTCTTTTCTTTGCCTCTAGATACGGAACGGGATGTTTCTTACTGTGCAATACAGGGCAGAAGGTCAGTTTCTTGGTTTTGTTTGTTTGTTTTTTCAGTTCACTTGTTTTTAACAATTTTCTTTTAAGTACTTGAATACTACTGTAAATCAGTCTTAAATTCATTAGCGTCAACTATATTGCTACAGGAAAACTGTAGCTTTCCATTCCATACTTTCCATTATTTTGGATTAATATGTGCAAGCTGTTTAAGACTCAATTTCATAGTTGCTAAAATGAACTTTCCATAATAAATTTCTAAATCCCTCCATATGTTTCTTAACATCACACAAGAAGTGCTGAGTGTTCTGTTACTAACCCCATATGCTTTTCTCCTTGACTTGGTTACTTCGTTTCTGCCCTTTGTTTCTTTTTCAATTTGTTCCCTGTAGTAGTCATAGTAGTAGTAAATAATGGAAAGCTTAGGCTTCCTTCTTATTCATATCTCCTTCTAAAGAAGCCCCATTCTTTGCTTTTAAGAATCTGGAAAGAACTGCGACCGCTTTATGGCCACATTCGTGGAAACAGGAATTAGCTGAGGAGTCTGTCTGGGTGCATAGTACTAACAACTATAGGTCATTTATTTTGCTCAAACTCTTAATAGTTTTTGTCTCTTGTTTATTATATTTTGAATATATTTATTTCTATTTATTCTGCCTCTGCTCATGGCTTACTTTTTCTTTCCCCTTCCCTTTTTAGTCTGTGTTTTCTGAGCACGGTCTTCTAACCACAATAGCTTACAAACTGGGCAGAGACAAACCTGTTTATTATGCACTAGAAGTAAGTATGATAATTTCTTCCTTTTTATAGTGATAAAAAATGTCATACTAGATACATATTATTAATGATACATATCCTTTGGTACTGTTTTCTAGTATCTTTTGATTATCTGTAGAGAAAATTTTCAGATGTGTGTTGAAACTTAAGCAGATTTGTATTAGAGCTTGAGTGCTTCAAGGTTTATGTGTAGTTTTGATTACCCCATCTTTACCTCCAATCTAAATCTTTTGATTAAATAAATGTATTTCTACATTGCATCATTTATATTTGCAGACTATGATAGCTAAAATATTTTTTCTATTACACAGTATTTCAAATCTCACAGATAATTGCATGCAAAGATTGTTTTTAAAAAAAGGGGGGGAAAAATACTGCTATCTCTTTTATGGTGAAAGTTGTGATTAGATATCTTTTTTTTTTAATTCAGTCTAATGGATTTTATTTCTAACTTTTTAAAGACTGTATCAAATTTCTGAGACAAGAAACATCTATTAACTTTTGATATACTAAAACTTAGGTGCTTGCTTACAGAATCTAGTTCCCGAGTTCCTTCCACAACTCAGAGGACATCCAAGTTATTTAAATAATTGGATATTTACTTCTTAAACTTCAGGTTTAATGGGTTTAAAGCTCTAATTCTGAATCGCAGATCAGCTTAGCAGCTGTTTTGCAGCAAAACTTCACTGAGATTTGTGGAATAAATATTTTTTCTCCTAGCTTGCTTAGTGCATTTGATCTATTAGTTACTCTCAAAACACACTTACTGAATTGCCTGCTGCTCTTGAGCTTTTTAAATGAGCCCATTTTTTCATGTCAGCCAGACAATAATTGGTGGATTACAGACTCTTGTACAACGTGAAAAGCTCTGTTCATTTCATTTTCCTTCTCCAAGGAAAGTGGGACTTCCATTTGCCACATTCTAATCAATTTTTTTTTTGGGGGGGAGCTATTGTTGTTTTTTGTTATTGTTGTTGAATTTATGTTCTTGAAGTGAGAGTTAGAGCTGTCTTGAGAATGATCCGAACTTCAGTGTGCTCAGGCACGCACGTGCTCTCTACGTCCTCACTTAGGCTGTCTGAAGAAATGGCTTCAGCAGAAGGTATCCAATACTCCCTTCTCCTGCATCCAGCCTACAAGGGTCCACAGTCTGGTGGCTGAGACACTTGTGACAGAAATGGATGCAACTTTTCCTTTTAATCAAACCTGTATCTCATAACTGTAATAACTAAGTCATTAGCAAACACCCTTGCCTCCTCATAGCGATGCTTTGAATGAAAATACAGTTCTACTTCTGTTTTCACTGAAGCTTGGCCTAGGAGACTGGAGACTGCCTTGTGGAGGAGACCATTTGGACTCTGTTGTGAGATGGGAGCCATGCCATTCATCTCATCGTGAGATGGGGGCATTCAGAGCCATTTGTTGAGACAACGTGGGAATTTTGCTGGCCTTTTTGGCCAATGCCTGATTTTTCTTTTGCTTTCTAGGCATTTGTAGTTAGACTGTAGCATTTGAACAACTCAAGCACATAATGAGTCTCATTTTTTAAATCAAGCATAAAAGTTTTAATTTGGCAGAAAAGAAGACTGAGGATAGTGGGCCTCAGTATCACATATTCAGGAGAAGACCTAAATTAGAGAAAGCAAGAGGATTGCCTAGCAAGTGTCATTGTAACTCCCCTCCAAGGAAGGGAGGAACCTTTTTTTCAGGGATGCTGAATAACAGGCTGCTATTTTTACATGACAGCCTCGGGCTGCCAAGAAGCTTGTGGCTGTGAGCGTTCTTGGGAGTACTCTAGGTGCAGCTGCCTCTCCTCTCCAATCCTGTAAAAATGAACATGATGCTGGCAGTTGTGCTCTCCTGATCTTGTAGTGATTTTTTTTTCCTTTAGGGATCTGTTGCAATAGCTGGTGCTGTTGTTCGTTGGCTGAGAGACAATCTAGGTATCGTTAAGACTTCACAGGAAGTTGGTGAGTGTTCACAATTTGGAGCTCTTAATCTTTTAGATTTTCTTTTTACCCATCTTGATGTCTGCAATGTTGAGTAAAAGCTCAAAGTAGTCAAGTAAGGAGAAATTGCAAGAAATGTAAATTTTGATGTCACAGAATCACAGAATGGTTGAGGTCGGAAGGGACTTCTAGAGATCATCTAGTTCAACCCCCTTGCTCAAGAAGGGACACCTAGAACACACCTTTGATGTGTTCAAATAATTCATTTTGCATCTCTGAAATCACTGTTTATTGACACATGTATTTCACACAGCATCTCACTAAGGTCTTTGAAACCCATTGTCAGCTTGATTTTATTACAGTTCATAATTTTTAGTAGTTGTCCTAGCAAATAGACATGCAGGAATGTACTACATTTACAGTGTGTTTCCTAGTTTCATAAAATACTGAATTTTCCAAAGCCAATAGTGTGTAAGCCTCATCTATGGAACCCAGTGAAAATTGGATCTTAAAGCAACGTATTCATTCCTATCATAAGCAGGAGAACCTGAGACTCTAAACATGCAGTCACTTATGTAGAAGGATTCATATGCGTCAAAGCAGTAGAAGACCTCAGTTTGCAAGCTGTTTCTGTAATGAAATTATAGGTGATTATATAATCTGTTTTGGCTAAGAATATCATAACCCTTTGGAATTTTAGTAGCTAATGTTTTCTGCTAGAGCAGAACTTGAAAAAAGCTGACGTGTAATATTATAGAAAATAGGAATATAAAAGAAGTTTGGAAAGGAAGAAAACTTTCAGAAGCTTGCAACTCTCAGTTTGAAAGCAACTGTTTTAATGGGATGTAGGAAATTCAATACATTTTTTAATATTCTATATATCTTATTCAAAAGTGGAAATATTTAGAACTCAATTTTCACTTAAAACTTCAAAGACTAGGCAAAAACAGAGACTGGTGAGCTGCTTTTCTAGTATAAAGCTTCATAGATCCATATGGAGGCATCCATGCCTTTGTCACTAGAGTTATCCAGTTGTTGAAACACTATGGTGCCCATTGGCTTCATAAGTTTGACTAAACCTTTAATAGGTTTAGGATTCAAGAACTTTAATCTTGTTGGTGTTACTAAAATCAAGTGGGAAATTGTCACCATTTCTCTATTTTTTATTTATTTTTTAATTATTATTTTAATTCTTAATATTTCAGTATTGGGGAACTCAGATACCTAATGTGATTATTCAGGCATTAAGAAACTTTAGATGTCCTTATAGCAGGGCTTGTAATACTTGCATTGTATACTTGTATCACAACTTGTATACTTAAGCTGTGAATTTAGACTTCTAAATGCATTTGAAATTCATGGGAGTTTAATTCTTAACTCCCTTTGGTCTTGACCCAGTTTCCTTTGCTTTCACTGACTGCCATGCAAATAAAGAGTAACCTTTTGGACAGCTTTGAAGGATACCTTTTGAAAACCTCACAGAATCTGGGTTAACATATTGAACACAATATCAGGGTAGTTTTTTTTTTTTTTCATTTTACATATCCCATAGTCCCTTATACTCCATCTTCCACTGAAAATGGACAAATAGTTAATGAGCAGAATGTCAGTTTGTTACATTTTCTACTTGTATTATAGAAATGCATTATTTTAGCCTTTTTTAGCTATTTTAAGTATTCTGAAATATTCTATATTTAAATAATATCTTTATTTAAATTTAATTTATTTAAATTTATTTAAATTTAATTTATTTAAATTTAATAATAACTTTAAGTGTCATTTAAGTGCCGGTACAGCCTGTGAAAAGCTATGTAAAGATTGTTTATGTCTGTGTGTGCATTAGAAAAACTGGCTGCAGAAGTGGGGACTTCTTATGGCTGCTACTTTGTGCCAGCATTTTCAGGACTGTATGCACCGTACTGGGAACCCAGTGCAAGGGGGTAAGGATCTAATTAAGCACTGCATTTGCAGGAAGATTTAGTTATTTGCAAACACTAACACTGGTCCCTCCAATTTTGTGAGCTCAGTTTTACTTTGCTCCTTTGGTGTGTCATGATACCTCATTCTCTGTGATATCTTCAACAGAGAAACATGGACTAAAATTATCTGTCTCAGCTACCTCCTCTAACCAAAAAAGAAGATGGGGATTTGTCAAGGATACCATTTGGACTGAATTGGATTTTGAAGGATGATTACAGGATAATTCTATCATTCTCCTTACTAAGGGTCCTGTTTGTTTGTTTGTTGTGTTTTTATTCATGTGCTTGTGGTACTGAAAGAATTTTGATCTCATGAAAGAGAAAGAGAAGCTGTGCATACCTGTGAACAGTCAGCAACAAACGTAGAAAGTGAAGAATTTAATGCTAATTAATTTTGTGAGCTCAGTTATTGCTGCTTTCACTGTCTCAGATACAGGCTACTTAATTCCTTCCTCTCTTGCTCTCTCCCTCCTCTTCCCCTCCATAAGTCCAACTCTCCTTCTTTTGCCTATCTATTAAACATTGCTTAGGCCAATCCTTTCCAACACATTTTGGGGTGATTAATACTTAACTAACTGGTAATAGTTAGAACAACTAGTTCAAACAATATCCTCCTACTTGTATTTTCTGCTCTTGTGAGTTTGCCTACTGTTGCTGGAATCACACCATGCCATAAGAGTTACAGAAATCACATGTTTAAGTATAAATTTGTTAAAATGGAGGGAAAAAAAAAAGAAGTCTTAAAGGTTTTGAGTAGTCTCATCTTTAGAATTTAGGTACTTTTTGTACCTACGGGGGGAAAAAAAAAAAAAACTCTTTGACTTACCTGCTTTTATGCCACAGTGCTTAGCTGTTTAGCTTTGAAAAACTGGTTTTTGGAATAACAAGAACAAAAAAGTCCTTTAATATAAAATAAAACTGATAAGACTGATAAAACTGAAAGATAAGACTGATAAAGCTGATAAATCTGAAAGAGTTTTAATCTACCAGGTTGAAGTCTGAAATATTTCCTTTCTGATAAAGATGTGTGTTCTAACTGTTGCATTTCCTTTCTCTTGAACAGTATTATCTGTGGCCTTACTCAGTTTACAAATAAAAATCACATTGCCTTTGCTGCACTAGAAGCTGTCTGCTTTCAAACACGAGAGGTAAAGACAAATTAAGTCATAATAAGTTCATTGTAAATTAGTATGATATCAGGCACAGTAACTCTTCAGGAGTAGAGGACCAGAAAGACTTAACAAAGGTTAATGATACACTTGATATTACGCCTGGATATCTTTCTCTTCATATGGTGCTAATGTTGACAAATTGCTCCTTCGGACTTGGCTACAACAATCTGGTTGGCTGGTACATTATTTACATGGGCAGTGTTGCTTGTTAAGATGTGGTGAGCATGTTTTTGTGAATCTCAAGACTGGCAAAACACAGAAGCAATCCAATGACAAGACCAATGCCATAACTAAAAAAGTTGCAATATTTCTACAACATATGAGACTAAGGTTTATACTGTCTGTGATGAAAGAAATGGCTTGCATTGGTACCCAAGAACAAAAACAGGTTTCCTATTGCCTTTGCCAGCATTCTGCAAAAGCAAACCAAAATTCTCAGTGAAGAAATGAATCTTCCTATCAAATCAAAGAGGCATCTATGTTCTGAGTAATAAGAAACGGTTATATTGCCATTCCCTACTAATTTATGCTTCTCTTGTGTTTTGTACAAATAGAGACCCACAAATGTAACAATCCAATTTTGATTTGATTGCAAGTTTTTAAATTCATGTCATTATTAATTCTGAGATTTAAAATAATACCCATCTAATTCTGTGTGAGAGGAGGAAAGCAACTCAATAATTCTGCCATGACAAAGAATAGAGTAAGGAGTACTTCTATAGAAAAGAGCCAGAAACTTCACCTGAGCAGCTGCTGCTGAAGCTCAGCCAGGTGACTCTGAGTCCTCAGAAAGCCATGAGGGAGCCTGAAAGCAGCGTTTATCTGTGATACCAGAAATCAGGCTGACATTGCAGGGACTGACCCGATAGCCCTGTTTGCAGTCTCTTCCTCTCTTTCCTTGTTCCTCCTCCCATCCGTTCCCTCTCATGGCAACTCAATGAAGGAAATGTCAGAAAAAAAGACCTGTCATGTGGCTGTGAGTAAGAGGGGAGGGAAGAAGGCTTTCAGACCGAGAGTGAGGTTAACTATTTGAAGCAATCTAATACTTTACTCATACTTTAGTGCTTTATTGTAATTATAGGAGTGCCTGAATAGGTCTTCCAGGCACACCTAGTAGTTAATCTAATCAGTAGATTAACTCCTAATGATACAGAAAAAATATGTACATTTTTCAAAAGTATATTGTTAGTTCTGTCTTTTCAGAAATGATTTCTTGTGTTACAGATCCAATAAAAAGCACTTTGACAGGTATTCCATGATTATTAAAACTTGGAGTTGCATATTTTCGGGGAGACTACTATTTATTTTACATTGTTTAGCAAACATGGACATATCAGTGCTTTATATGTAGAGGATTTCATAGATTTCTCTATAATTCAGATATTAATCTTACTTAAGATTTTAGATGCTATGAACAAGGACTGTGGGATACCACTAAGCCAGCTGCAAGTAGATGGAGGAATGACCAATAACAAAGTTCTCATGCAACTCCAATCAGACATCCTCTGTATTCCAGTAGGTAAGGTGAACGTAAAACTTTGCTTTTCTTTTTAAAGGTTAAAAAAAGAGAAAAGTATAAGCTTTTAATGGCTAATGAGGACCAGTCAGTTGGATTTTTTTTGTCGGGGGCGGGATGGGGAAGGGAGCAGGGGGGTTGCTGGTCTTTTAGTCCTAATTGTAAGTGTTCTTTTTGCAGAAAAAAAAGTTACTGGATCTTGCATCGAATGTTGAGAATCATTTTTTGTAGACAGTCATTGACTCTTGTTTATACTGTTGAAATATTATACCATTATGAGTGCATTGAACCTTCAGTTTATCATAATGATTTCTAAATGTCCAGTATCTTCTAAAATCAGTGAAATTAATGCTCTACTGCAACACACTGGCCCTGAGAATCTAATACAGAATTAAACCACAACTTTGCACCTCCACTGCTCATGTTCTTGAGTAAGCATTTCCACAAATAGCAAATACACTTTGTTGTTGTTGTTGTTCCCGTAGCCTTCACAAAACTTTGATCTCATTTACAAGTAAAAAAGACACGTGAAACAGCCTGATCACTCTGTTTCTCCCAGGACAGCAATAACAATATGAAATTCAAACCCAAATAGTTGTTCTTTTCTGCTTGCTTCTCTAAGGCAAGTAACATTTTACAAAGTCCTATTTTCATCCAATTGTAATACAAGAATTTTGCAAATTATCTTATAACACCTCCTTTTTAGAAAGTTCCTAGAATGATTTAAAAGATTTTTATCATTTGAAAAATGTGTTTTAATACACAGAGTGCAGGGCTTTTTAGAGACTTCCCTTGAAAAGTGTGACTGGAGCATTTCAGTATCAGCAAAAAGCATACATCTTTCTCAAGACATATTGTAATATGTCTGGGAGATAACTTACTTGATTCAACAATTTTTATTTATAAATTAGCATTCTTAAGGATGCAATATGTCACTGAGTAACATCAAGATATTATGCTATATTGATGAATGCTAATTTGTTATGAAAGTACTAATCTTGCCTTAACTCACCTAATATGCAACTGCTGGAAAAATATTCAGAAAAACATTATGATGTGTCTTAGGCAAAAATATGAGACACTCCAGTAATAGTAAGCCAGGGAAAAGTTATTAACTCTAGAGAGACTATAACTTCCTTTCAATGATACATGATACACAGGTCTCACATTATCAGTGCTTAATAGCTATCAGCTTTTAAAGAATACTCTATCAGAAGCAGAGGAGGAGGCAGTTCAATGGTTAATGGAACTGACTTACCACTAGCATCTTGAAGTTGGGGGATTTTCTACCATGCCTGTGGAAAACAGCCATTACACTTATAGTAAGTAGAGGTGTATAACCTCCTTTAAGACTACTTTTCTAAGTATGAATAAAGTGTCTAGAGCATGGGAACAAGGCTGACAAGTCAGTGATCACTGTTTGGGGAAGGCGGGGAGAGAGAGGGCAAGAAAACATCTCATCCTTAACAAGAATAGGCCAAGGAAATTGGTGAGTCAACAGACATTTACCAACAGGATGAAAATGGGGCAATTGCATGATCCTCTCTTAGAGGAAGTTGTTCCAGAGACTTAGAAGACTCAGAGGTGAAGTCAGTGTCATAACTATGTGATTAGTAATAAAATGAGATTTGCAGGTGATAAATCTAAGGGAAACTTACACAGTATAGTTATATAAAATATAAATCACTCTAGGTATGCATAAGAATATAGTTTTGATGCCATTAAATTGACTGTCATGAAAAATTGTTGTGCCTTCTCTCTGGTTTACTGCAGTAAAGCCATCAATGCCTGAAACAACAGCTCTAGGAGCTGCTATGGCTGCAGGAGCTGCAGAAGGAGTTGGAATTTGGAGTTTGAATCCTGGAGATTTGACAGCAGTGACCTGTGAAAGATTTGAACCTCAGATCAACCCAGCAGGTAAAAACCTCTCAGAACGTAAAAACTTAAATTTTATGTACAATAGATCAGAGTTTTTATTTTGTTGCATTTGGATGCATACTGATATACAAGAAAGCATGTTGTTGACATAATTATTATTACATATGCATGACAAATACATTTTTGTCTCTTTTTTTATCTTTTTGCACAAGTTTTTGTTTTTATCCCCATTTTGATTCTGTTTACTGCTATAATCCATTCTTCAAATCATTATTTTCAATACTGGAGGACTTCTACATGAATAACAATTGTTTCATTTCTTCCTGCTTATAATCTGTTTATTGGTGAACAGGCACAAAGTTGTTTAGAATTTTCTCCTTTGCTTGTGTGTGTTTGTGCAGATAAACCATACTCTGAAAAGGTCTGGAAAGCCAAGACTAGAGTCTCTGCTTCTTAAATATTTGTGGTATTCATATAAAAAAAAGTATTCATATAGTCATATAAATCCATAGGCTTATAAATTCCATTCACTGATTTCTCAATTTCAGAAAGTGAATGTCGCTATGCCAGATGGAAAAAAGCTGTGATGAAATCTATGGGCTGGGAGACATCTGAAGCTCCTTCAAATGGTAAACCCTTCATTAATGCAGGTTAAGTACTGTTAATTGGCCAGGTAGCTCAGGTGATTCCTCTTGAGATTTGTGACCTTTTCTGTTCGCACTGTCACTGCTCTATTCAATTGATTTGAAATCTATTACTTAAAAAGAGCTGTGGAAAGAAAGCAGATGGTAGATGGGCTTTAACTCTTGAAAGGACACAAGCAACATCTTGTGGGCCTCTAAAAACAGAGGATATTAATCAGGGCTAAACTGCAGGTTTTGTAGAATTGCATTGGTTTAAATCTTCCCTAAAATAATAGATTCAGCTTAGTGCTGAGACAGTACAGTGATATCTTAAGCTTTCCTATTCTACATCCTTGTTTTGCCAAGGAGAAGTTTTACCCTGTAATTTTTATTGCCGTATCTTGCCTTATTGTATGCTGTATAGGAAGGAGGGATAGATAACCATCCTTCTTAAGCTTTCCTATTCTACGCCCCTTTTTTTTGTTTGTTTTGATTTTTATTGCCGTATGTTGCCTTATTGTATGCTATATAGGAAGGAGGGATAGATAACCATCCCAAAATCTGACCCACGAAACTAAGAGCAAGAAGTTAGCATAAAACACGGATTTGCACAGGACTATTGCCCACATACAGAGAATATGCAAATGCTTAGGAGGGACTAAACAGAGTCCTTCTTTTGAAACAGAAGGCTTTAGCATCTGTCAGGTTTGAATGGAAGCTACAGTCTTCTATCATTGTGTTTATATTTCTGCACCATTTCAGGAAAGATTTTCAGTCCTAAATCAAGCTGCCTGACATTTGTAGACCCAGTCTTCCTTTAATCTTTTTTTCATTTAAGCTTATTTAGCTGCTAGAATGAGAAGTATGAAGTTTTAATCTGTCTTCAAAATGTAAACTCCCCCCAGAATCTCCAGTTACAGCTGAATGAAACATCATTCTTTATTACTGAAAGATAAAGCTAAAATTTTCCTTCTGTGATCCTATACATTCATATATGTAAATAATTTTTAGCCATGTAACACTGTGCTTATACCTTTTGCCCTTTAGACAGGATTGAGAGAATTGTTTGTATGTCAGCACGAGTAAAAACTTCATTTCAGTATTGTCCATTATTATTTAGTAGCCTTACATCTCAATTTTGTATTGTTTCTTAAAATTCCATGTAGATATGTATCATACTTTTGCTTCCTTTTGAAGTATAAAAAAAATCCATCTTACCAAAAATAAAATTAGATCTTGCTCTTCAACGAATGTGAAAAATGGGTGTTTATCATATCTACCTTCAGTGGTTACCTGATTTACTGGTGCAGAAAAAAAATGTAGATATTTTTCTTGTTCTTAATTTGAAACTTTTTTTTTCTGCCTGTTAGGAGCATTTAAGATTGAAGAATTCTAGATACGGTCTTATCCTAAATAGTTCTGACAGTGGAATTTGAACTTAAGCGCTTATCATGAAAGTCTATTTCAAATTATTAAGGGGGGTCATGAGCAAACTTCTTTATCTTTTCTGCAAATGTCACTACATTTGTTACTTTTGCTTTCATATGATTCTTAACACATATATTGCAATTTATATATATATTTCTCTTTTGATTTGCTTGACTGGAAACACCTTCCCCCGGATGACATCAGGTGACACTAGTATCTTCTGTAGTCTGCCTTTGGGTTTTTTTATAATGAGTAGCATGATAATGTTAATCGGAGCAAAGTACGTCTCAGGTTAGTTGTTATTTGCACTAGATCATTTTAAAAGCTATCTACGTTAGTTTAAGTGTTTTTGTTTTTGTCTCATATCTGTTTATTTTCAGCAAAAATGACTGATGATTTTTGTTGCTCATGCACACGACTGTTTATAAGGTTCTGTACTAGAAATCTGGTAGTTAAGAAACCAAATGAAGACCAGCGGGAATTCATCATCATATGCCATGGATTGCCTGTTAGATATGCATGAAATCTTGAACTCTCCTTTTCCTTCCTCAAGCTGCCGCAGGTTGTAATAGGTTCTGGAAAGGAAATAGGCTGGAGCGACCGGGCAGAGTTTTGTGTTCCCTGCATTACACTTAGAGTGAGGTTGCATCCTTTGTCTTGTAGTTCTCGTAAAATTAAAAACCATTTTGAGGATCTGGCTTAGCTGTAATAAGAAAGCATCTCTTCCATCCTGGAAAGGCTTCCTGTAGGCCACTTTTCTTTCTGGTCACCTTGGAAGTACTGTATGGACAGAAAACTTCTTCCACTAAATCTACAGAATATTCTTTTCATACTTTGTTCTTAATGGATAAGTCATTTTCACTTTGTTTAAAGAGAAGAAACCCTGATAAGCCTATTGATAATAAACCTTAAGGGAAAGGGACTGTGTGCATATGCAATGAAGATGCATCTTTAACTTATTAATATATATTTTACCTTAAAAGAAAGTTCTGACTCTAGTGTTAGTTACTTGTGCCAGAAAGAGACATTTTACTAACATGTTCATATGGTAAGCAAAATAATTTTATATGGTGATGTCGTTTGTTTGTAGTTTTTGTGTTTTTATAATTTCAGTCAAAGGAAGATATTTTACAGCATAGCTGTTACTGTTTCTTAGCGGGCTCTTTGGATGTGGTTGTTTCTTTGGGGTGGGCCACTCCAGCATGCTCCTGTGGTGAGGTGTTGGTATTTTGGGTTTAGTTGTTCAACCTGAGTTTACTGTTTGGCTGTATTCTTCCTTGCATGAAGAGACTGTCTGAGCTTATAGGAGAACTGAAATCAAACTAAGCAAATGCTCAGTAAAAATCAAACTGAACAAATGGATTGGCATTGATTTACTAACTCTGGAATGTATCTGTAAATGAGAACAGTCTTGATTATGAAGAACATAAGAAAACCAACTGTGAATGAGTGGGTAAATTTTTAACAAGCTGAACTAAGCAACTTTATTGTTAATTGTGGGTGAAGGTTTCTTGACCACATGGGGGATAGCTACAATAATATCAAAAGCAATACTAAGTGGACAGAGAAGCAACTTAAATTTTCAGTTTACTGCTTTTTAAAAACAACGAATCAGTAACCTGCACGTATATCTAAACCTGTGCTGTTGGAACCCATGAAAACAGACTTTGTCCCCTTTTCCTGGGCTTGTCAGTGCTTTTCCTTCTCATAAAGGGAACTCATTCAATTCACTATGGCCTTCAAGACCTGTTTTTGCTCTAATAGCAAAAATAGGGGTTTAGTGTGTATAATGTGTGATTTACACGGTAAGCCTGGTAACAGGAGAAGTTGCAAGTTAGTTTTGCTCAGCTGTGCGTTGGAACATGATGCAGAACTTCTGTTGTTGGTGGGAATGCCACAGCTCCCCCTTTAGACATTTGTTCTGCTAAATCTGCCTTGGCCTTTAAAAGGCGGAAGTGGCTGACCAGGCCTTCCTTCTAACCTCAGTACTGGAACTCCCTTAATTAATTTGTTACATTTTATCTCTTAACGAAACACTGGAGCTCTAATGCAGTCATCAGTTTAGTGAGTTTGGGAATTGAGCGGACTGCAGGTTGAATTCATCCCTCATGTGCTGGCGCAGCAGGCAGTGCTGCCGCTAAGCCCGGCCCCCTAGGGCAGGGCTGGGATTTTACAGCTGCGGAAATGCGAGGGAAAAACCTGCTGTGGCAGAACAGAGAACACTAATGTTGCGAAAAACAACATGGGGAATGGCTAAGCTAACTGCTTTTCAACTTGATGAGCAAATAGAGGAATGGTGCTGCTTTTCATGTTATGCTTTCATGAATTCATCAAAGGCAGATCCATTACTTGCACTACTTGCACTTTATTTTATGTTTGTTTATTCACAAAAAAAAAAAACCTATATTTATAATATTTTACTAGTAAAGCAGGTTGTGCTGGAGTACTTATGCAATTGTTTTTTCCAGTCTTTCAAATCAAATCCATTTGGGGACTAGATACCTGCGAGATTACAGCCTAGTGTGTAGATAAACTCTTTGATGGGACAGAGGGAGGACTTGACTGAAAAATAATATTATTCTATTAGGCTCAAATTTAAAGAAGTGCCTTTGTTTGCTTAAATTTGCTCAAGTGAGTTATAAAAACAGAGAATTAGTTACATACAGGATCTAAAGTCCTTTGATTTTATCCCCACGGAACAAGCTGTCAGCGCTGGTATTTCTCCTGTCTAAATACTCTTACTGCTTTGTTTTTTCCATGATCCAGTTTTTGCTTTTTAGTCTTCTGGATTGTGATAGTTACTGCCAAATTGCAAACTAATTTATCTATAGGGAGCACTGTTGTAATTCTTTGAGTTAGTTGCAGTAATCTTTCCCGTATTCAGGAAATACTAGGCTTGGAGTATCCTCCCTCAATCCTTTTACTTGTTAAAAGTTTACCCATTTGAATCAGTGTGGTCTCCTCTCTTGCTGTATGCCCATCCCACACACTCACCGCCTCTCTACCATGAACTGGAAACAAAGGATGGTTCTCCTGGACTGCTCCTATAGCTCAGCTGTGTTGTAGAGTAAATGTTGTGGAGTGATTTCTGTGCTACTAATACACGTTCTTTCCTGCTTAAGGTACAGATAAATGAGACTGCTTAACGGATTGCCTGGATGCAGCTGACTGTGTTTGCTTTATGTACGAAGAGATTCCACCACCAGTGTGACTGTACAGTCTGTGTGACTCAATGCATTTACGAGCCCGCCTGCTGCCGGGCCTCGCGCACCGCGCGGCGCCGCTCCCATCCCACCACCGCGGCGTCCCGGCTCACCACGAGAAACTTCACAATTTCGGAAGCCCTAGCTTTGTTTGAGAGAGTTGTCCTTTAGAAAACCTCTGGGATAATATCAGATGTTTTTCTATCCTTTCCAGGGTTTTGGTACTTTATAAACTGCACTGCAGGAAGTTGGAATGATGCACTATAGAACTGTGTAAACATCTTATAGTGTTTCTTCCTGCTGCTATGGATTACCTGTCATATTTCTGTGGTTGCCAAAGATGTTATTTTAGTGGCCGTTGGTCTGAGACACCTTTGATGGTACAAACCTTTTAAACAGTAGCTCAAAACGTCTCTTCAGTAGCACATGCCACTGGTTTGGCAATGCGAAGGTTGCAGGTATGGTCAGCAGAGTACTATTAAAATGATTGATCACAAAGTTAAATGGAGGTTTGGTTTGACTTCCAGCATAGGTAGCCGGTTTGCCTATTAATAAGTATTTAAGACACTAAGTCCTGTAAACATATCTTTAAAGAGGAAGGAAAAATAGATGTTTCGGTTAAGGTTATGTTTCATGTTCTTGCCTGTTTGTTTGTTTTGAAAGATAAATTTGCTGCAGCTTGCAACTCAGAGGAGAGCTTCTTAGTCCTCTGTAGCTGGTAACTCTTAAAATTACTCTGAACAAAATACTTTTCTTGACCAATACAGCGTATGCTTTGTCATCCTGCATAAGGGTATTTTAGTGTGTTTAACTTCCAAACTTTGAAGCTGAATTAGTTCTGTTAAAGAGGGTCCACTCCCTATTAAATATCAGTGCTTTAGTTCTTGATCTCACTTAGCACATCTCAGGGACCAAAATCTCCCTTTCGGTTTCCATGTCTAGTTTTAACAGCAAGTTGTCCTAAAATATGCTGGGTCAACCCAAAACCCTGACTGGGAGTTGTAAGCACTTGGCACCTGAAACTGGCCACTGGAAACAGAGGCAACCTACTTGAAAATTGAGTTGCAACCACTTTGAAACTTTAGATCATCCACAGGTAAAGGAATGAGGCAATAATCTTAACTTCAGTTTCCCTGCTGCCGTCAATAGCCTGAGAAATGCCAGCCTTGTCGGACACATCGGAAAATGTGGTCTTGGATTGTGTCACACTGTAGAACGATACTGACGTTAACTGTGGGAACAATGACTTTGAAAACAATTTACAAAGATGTGTTTAAATGCACTAGGAGTCAAAGGGAGTGTTTTTTGTTTTCTTTTCCTTTTTTGTGAGTGTTCTTAGAGATTCTTGTCTTACGAAAACAAAGTTATTCTTTGACAAAGGTTTTCTTCATTCAACTGTAAATAGAGGTTTAGTTTTAAAAGAAATGTTGAATAAGTATGTCTGAAGCAATGTATTGCACAGAAGTTCAGGTCTGTACAATATATTTAATATCAAATGCATATTAATTGCCTTTTTATGAGTAAGTGCAATGACCTCTGAAAATGTGACTTTTAATTAAGAAGTTAGGGAAGGAATGATTTCCTCCTGTGGTTGTATGTACAAGTTCAGCTGAAGGGATTTTTATGCACAGGTGAAAATCTAACACCACGGTTCTTGTCCCACAACTCCCATAAATACGTGAATGTGAGGTGCAACTGAAACTTCTGGGTTTTCCAGTTTGTGTGGAGAGGCAACTAAAGAGTGAGAAGTGAACATGAATCTACAGGAAGATCTATATCTTCCCTATGTTTCCTCTGAGCTGCTGAGGATCCCTGCTTACACCAAGGAACAGGAGCAACAGCAGCCTTTGGTGCGCACAGATGGAGGGCAGCGCACACCTCAAAAACTGGACTCAGAGCAGGACTTCTTGCCAAAAATACTGAAGTAATGAAGCTGGGAATTATGAATGCTGGAGTGTTGCCCTTGCCAGCGGTGTATGTGGTAAGGGAGGAAAAAAACCATGTGTATTATTCAAGAGGGGAGATTATTTGCTGCTTTTTCTGATGTATCTTTTACTGAGAAACACAATTCCTATTACCTTTTCACTAAGTAAATACCATAATTTTATTTTCAATTGCTGTTGCAAGTACTTTTTAAGACTATCACACCACTGTAATCTTTCTACCAACATAGTTTAAATGAACCATAAACTGTGTGTGGGGAGAACTGCTGAAAAGTAGCTTTTGTGAATACTGTGATTTTTTTGTTTGTTTGTTTTCCTGTAAGTTACCAGATTTATAAAATAATTCTTACATGAGAAATGCATTCACTTGGTATTAAAATGTCATAAACAGCTGTACTTTGTCAGTTTATTCTTGCATATTATCTTGTGGCTACATTTTCATTAATATTATTATAAAGACCATTAATACAATGCCCTGAGGCATATTAAACAATAGAGCCTTTGCTTTGTAACACACATGCACGCGTTTAACCTGCTAATATACATGGATCAAATGTATGTCATACTGGGTTGTGGTTTTAAGTGATATATTCAGTTTCTTGGATTGGATTGAATAAGAAAAAAACTGAATTTCCCCAACCCCGACCTGTTCAGGAAAAAGCAGGGAAATACAAAGAAGAAGAAGAAGGACAAAGTCCTGATACAGGTTTGGTTTTGAAAGATGGTACTGCTAAAGCTTAAAAAGCTGTTATGAATCAGAGAAGAAGGAATGTCAATGAAATATAAAATATTGCTAGACACAATATCTAGTTTTTTTTTTTTTTTTTTGAAATTTCTGTCTTATGAGAAACAGAAGAGAGGATATGTGTATACAGCAGCTCCCTTTAAAATCACCCCTCCTCCCCCAAAAATAACTTATTTTTGTTTTCTCTGTATAGGGATCAAAATTATATTTTACACATCTACTGGTGCATAATTCTACCAAGAATATGCCCTTTAGCCCTGGTCTTGAATAACTCAATAGCCCCATATATCAAAATCAATTACTGTGAGCCAGAAACAAATCACTCAAATAGCATGTAAATTATTGTTACAGAAATTAGGCAGGCGCATTGTATCTCAATATCAGACTTCCACCTTGCTCAGGTTTTAAAGTTTTCCTTTCAAATAGCAAAACTAGAGCCTTGACCGCAGCTGTGTTTCCAAGAGCATACTGAAATAGCAGGAGAATTATGAGAAGAGTCTTAATCTAATTAGTACAGATAACTACATTTACTTTGATGTGGAATTTTATTTACATATATAAAAAAAAATGCTTTTCAACAAGAGCTAAGATGTCCCATCTATTACTGGAGCCATATGGAAACAAACTTTTTAATAAATGCCCGTATCTACGCCCAATAGTCCTCCCATATGAAGAAGTCTGGATCTGTTGCCACAGGAGTGCTACCCCATAAACAGATGCAGCACAAGTGCGCAGCGATTTGTTTTTTCTTAATGTTAGACTTGTCTGACATTAATGGAAATAGTACACACAAACCCATGAGATTACAGACACACAGAATGGTTGAGGTTGGAAGGGACCTCTAGAGATCATCTAGTCCAACCCCCCTGCTCCAGCAGGGACACCTAGAGCACGTGGCACAGGGTGGCATTCAGGCGGGTTTGGAAGATCTGCAGAGAAGGAGACTCCACAGCCTCTCTGGGCAGCCTGTTCCAGGGCTCTGTCACCTTCACAGGAAAGAAGTTCTTCCTCACATGGAGATGGAACTTCCTGTGTTTCAACTTGTACCTATTACCCCTTGTCCTGTCACTGGTCACCACGGAGAAGAGTTTGATAAGATAATCAGGCAAGTGACTAGCAGCGCTTTAAAGCACAGAAATAATATGAGACAATTGCTATAATCATTGATCTGCTGATCAATGGATCAGTAGTGATCAAGGTCGATCGCAAACTCAAAATAAATTGATATCTTCCCTCAGTGCTCTGTGTATATCGTGAAAAAAGATATGGAAATGTTTCTTTTTGTCTCTATAATCTCAAGGAAATAAATCGCTAAATAGAAGCCAGTCCTTCAGAGGATAGCTCGAGTTTGCAAAAGCTATTATTTGTGACATTTTAATCCTTACCACATGCAAAAAGACTGCTGAGCCTCTAGACACTAGTGGTGTGATCCAGGGGTTGATACTGTTTAACATCTTCATTAAGGATCTGGATGAAAGGACAGAGCAAGTTTGCAGATGATACCAAACTGGGTGGAGTGACTGATGATAGCCCAGAGGGCGGTGCTGCCATCCAGAGGGACCTGGACAGGCTGGAGAGATGGGCAGAGAGGAACTTCATGAGGTTCAACAAGGGCAAGTGCAGGATCCTGCTCCTAGGGAGGAATAACCCCAGACACCAGTACAGATTACAGGTTGACCTGCTGGAAAGCAGCTACGCGGAGACGGATGTGGGAGTCCTGGAGGACAAACTGACCACGAGGCAGCAATGTGCCCTCGTGGCCAAGAAGGCCAATGGGATCCTGAGCTGCATTAAGAGCATTGCAAACAGGTTGAGGGAGTTGAGTCTTTCCCTCTACTCAGTCTCAGTGAGACCAGGTACAGAGTGTTGGGTCCAGTGCTGGGCTCCTCCACACAGGAGGGACATGGAGCTACTGGAGAGAGTCCAGTATGATGAGGCCATGATGATGACTGAGGACCTGGAGCACCTCTTACATGAGGAGAGACTGAGAGTGCTGGACTGCTCAGCCTGGAGGAGACCGATATAAGTAACTGATGGGAGGATGCTGATATACCAGCAAACAAGTGTGTATGAGTCAGGATTTGTCAAATTACAGTGGGCTAAGCAATGTTAAATGAAGGAAATGCTTTTATTAACTAAATATATCATAATACTGTTATTATAGCGCTGAAAGATCTTATTTGCTAATTTTGAAATAGATTATTTTCTTACTCATAAGCACTCTGATTCACAAATGAGTGCTCTGATGTGCAAATGAGGCATGTTGTATATTGGAATATCCAGGATTTTCTTTTTTTAATTCAGGGGGTGATAAAAGCACTTAGAAACAGCAGAGAAAACATATCAGATTTTTAGCAATTCAGAATGCACTGTTAGCTAATGTCATAGTGTTCAGTATAACAAATAATAGGCAGGATGATGGTCATAACAGTTGGATGAAACTGTTATATAGAATATCTTTAAATATCTGAAATTGTAAGCAGATCTTGTTATAGTTTTATAAAATAAGTATCAGTCACCTTGAATTACTTTTCAAAGTAGCATCTGTTGTGCCCATCAAAGCAACATTAAGCATAGCTTTCTCAAAATGAAAATGTTGAAATCACATTCAAATTGTTTTTGGTAGAATGTGAATCATTGCTGCCCTTCTTCAGAATAGAAACAAAGATAACATCCGTAAATGAGCAGCTCATTTACAAGATGTAGATCGGTATTGCCAAACTAATTTGCAGTAAACAGGTAGTAATAAACACGTGTGAAGAAAGAGGTGAAGTCTTTCATAACAGTCTACAAAGCAAATGGTGTGGCAATTCTTATTTCTCATTTAGAAATTACCTAAAGACTATTAAAGATACAAAATGTCACCCAAAAGTCACAAAGTATTAAGTTTATATGTTGACCTACCTGTCTATATGCCTAAAGTGGTCGTTAAAATATAATCACTTGCTTTCTTTTTCTCCATGGGTTTTTAGTCTTAGACACTGTCTAGACTTTGAAATGAACTGATGATCTGTAGTGAAGGAAATTGATATAGGTGGTTATAAGTAATATAATAAGGATCCTTGTCCTTTTTTTTCCCCCTATTTACAAGTTACAGGTTTCGTATTGTATAAGACATGGATTCTCATTATTATAGCGCTTACATTTCTCTCAAAGTCCTGTTCTTAGCTATTGTCTTCCTGCACATTTCGTTTGTAGACACACTCATTACCAATTTAGTATAACACGTTGTATTAAATTTTTGTACTGGCATCTCCAAGACACTGTCCTCTCTCTTCCTGACTTGTCATCTTATTCTGAAAAAAAAAAATAATGCTGAAGCATCTAAGAAACTTAAAACCAGATATTGCTGAAAAGCTGACAGACATGTGTTTTTTTCATTTGTTTCCAGATCTCCCTGGTAGCTATTTTTTCTTGAATTTGACCTGTCTCTCTGTCCTGCAGATTTCATTTAAACTCCCTAGTACAGCCAACAGCTCTCAAACTTTAACAAATGTGTTTCCATGCTTTCACTTCTGCTTTCTCTTTTTTTTCACCCTGAAAAAGAGCAAACACTGCCTACCCTTCCAGGGAGCCACTGATGATGTTGGTTTATTGCTTTGGATTTGTTTGCCTACTGCAACACGCCAGCTCCGTATCAGTGAAGGCTTTCCCACTTCAGAACAAGAAGCTGCAGGTTTCTCCATCTGTACATTTACCCTACTGTAAGTAGTAAAATATTGTCTGACATTTCAGGGCAAATGGAGTCATGCGTCTAGATGTCAGACAACATTACATTTTAAATACATCTTTGGAGCATATACTTCTGAAATATACACCCTTTTGGTCCGAAGGCCAACAGGGCCTATCACCTCCCAGGTGGCATTCACATCCAAACTTCTTTTTAATGAAGTCCTTTCAACCTACTCCTTCTTCAAGGTGGCTAGATGCAGGGATGCTCCTACTTTGATAGAGTGCCCATGCTAAGGGCTCGAACCCCTCAGAGACACCCAGTCCCCCTCATCAGTGCTCTGGACCCCAGAGCAGCACCAAAAGCTTTCAGATGGCCATGTTAGAGCTCAGAAGATGTGCAATGAATGATGACAGACAGAATTGTCACTCTGTGGGGTAACAGTGAGTGGGATGATGCCAGATCAGTTCTGTTTCATGGTTCTTGTCTTGGGGACATTCAATTCAGGCCAACTTCTTGGTGTCTCACGTAAGCTCATAGACCTACAAAGCCAATTCATGAGCAGTACATCATTAAACTATTTTCCCTTAAGTCTTATGAAAAAAGAATGAGGATATAGATACATATTTTATTCTTCTCAATTAACAATACACTTAGTAATACTCTTTCCAACCCTCATTTTTTTTAACATTTCTTACTCCATTCTTACTCATTTATGCAGATTCAATTCCATTGTCCATAACTCTTTTTGACCAAATTTATTAATGTTTTTACTTGAGAGCTGTGTATCTATCTATCAATCATCTCCTTCACTTGCTTATTTGTCATCTTCCACTGGCCTTTGGCAAACGTCTCTGCATGTTGCATCCTTGCAGACAGACACCTGGGAAGGGTGAATCAACTTCTCTAAGTGAGAGAAACCCCACCAAAGATACCCACAACTGCACCTTTACACAGCCTTTTCTTCCTCTTGCACCTTGATAAGTAGCCATGTAACAATAGTTAAAAAGAAACACCAAACACAGGGACTATCAGAATAACGAGAGTAACAGTTTTACTGGAGCCCACACACTGGGTGTTTGTTGGGATTCCAGATAGAATCTTTTATTTTAGGGCTTTTTGTTTGTTTGTTTGTTTTAATGTATCTGGCTTACATCTATCTTCTTCAGTAAATACCAACTTTTAAAGAACAGTATAAGGAATTAATTGTAGCAGTTAAAAAAAAAAACTCATCTGATGGCATCACATTATTTGGACATGTGCACTAGTATGATCGATTGACTTTTTCCAACTCCCTTTTGATTCTTCCCGTCCTCTTTGTTCCCTTAGATTGATCTTTACTGGCATCACATTTGAAATTTTCCAAAGAGCCACTAAATAAATTCATCAGCACTGTCATTTTGCTACCAGAGCAGATGTTAAGGAAAGGTAGTTCTAATTGTACAAATAAAACTCCTATTTGATCAGCTGAGTAACTAGATACCTCTGGTCCGAAACATGGGACTCCTTTAATTTAAGGAAGGCATATTTTATACTCAAAAGCGATTTGAACAGATCTGATATTTATTATGTTCATTTTAAACAAACATATGCTTATTTTGCTTCTTTGACATTTTCATCATTTTCTAGGACTGCCTAAATTAGCATTAAGTAAATGTGACAGGAGACTTGAGAGAAAATTATAAATGATTGTGTAGTATAAACAATTGCAACATAAAACACTTCTGTACGATTATAGTAAATTCTGACTTTAATTTGGAGGCTTTGATTGATTAGAGGTTTAAAGAATTATTTTAGCTTTCTTAATCACATTTTGCCTCTGCTGAAAAGTGCCAGCTGTTTGTAATTAAAAACAAGACACTTCTTCTTATTGACCATATTAATTTTTCATGAAAGCTCAGTTCATTCATAATTAAAGGTGTTCATTTGACAATAAGACAAAGTGAAGCCCTTTGTTTTTTCACAAAGCAATTTGTGTATAGGCAGCAGATTAAGATGAATTCCCTACCCTTATGGTCTGGACAAACAAGTGCATTCTTGGATCAGTGCAATAATCTGGATCATCTCTTTTGATCCTAGGCTGTCCACCAAGGCTACGCTTAGTCCTAGTGTAGCTACTTGTCTACTAAATACCAAAAATGCCAGAATACCAGAGCACCAAAACAGGACTGGCTCAAGGTTGTGCTCTCCAGTGCAACGGCACAACAAGCCACCTGCGTGACCAGTAACTCCTTCCAGCTGTGAGGCAGTAAAAAGGGCCTCACCTGCCCTGCCAGAAGATCCTCACCTTGCCTGTTTGTTTCATCTAGTGATGTTCCTGAATTCAAACTTGCATTGTTAGATGTAACTATGTTGCTTTAGTACTCCAGCTGAGAAGACAGACAGTATGTGACTGCTCCAATTTTTTGCATCAGCTAAAATTTTATTTTGCCTAGAAGAATAGAAGCACACCCTTCAGAAACAGATGGAAGGCAGTATAACAAACTATTCTTTGTCACAAGGCAGAGTTATCATAAGCTTAGGCCTAGCGTAAGCCTAGCAGCGTAACAGTATCCAACTACTTATGTTATTCTTATGTCCTACACTGCTCAACTTCACTGACTTTCAGGTGTCTGCTTTCTCAGTATTCCTGTGGCCTGGCAGAGCTTGCAAATTCTTATTCGAATGAGAAAGGAGGTGCAAAAGGATTAAATCTGGACTTTCAAAGACAGTAAGGTACTGTGACTTGCAAGGCCTAGGTAAGTCACTCAGGGTCACACAAGAAGCCTGTATGTTTTTGTCCAAGACTTTCACTCTCAAGCAAGACGATCTAGATGAGTATTAGTAGGCTGGCCAAACAATAAATCTTTAACCAGCACAATAGTCAAGAACCAGTCTCACTCAGCAATTCACATAACGTCATCTTTGCCCACATGCCTTTTAAAAACCTGTCAAGCTTCTTGATAACACTAAATAAAAGAAAAAGAAATTGAAAATCTAGGATACTGTAATTGCACATATTTATCAAATTTATCATGTAGTTTTGTAAAGTAAGTTAACTTAAAATGCTACGAAAGTTTTAATTACAATTTATTTCAGCATGGAAAAGGAGTTCACTAGACAAATAAACCTTGGTGAAAGGATTTTATTGAATTATTGCATTAATTATGTAGTGCTATTCAATGTGACTTTTTTCTGCTGCTTTAATGACAAAACAGGAATGAGAAGAATAAAACCACTGTGCAGAAAACACTCTACACAAAAGTGGGTATTAGTCACTTCAGATTCTTCCTTGATTAATAAAATGCATTAACTTAACTTTCAGAGGGTAGGAAAGTAATATTCTCAGCAGTGAAAAGCAGCTGGATATCATTAACGACTGAAATGTAGGGGTAGTGCTTTTGTCACTTCTGCTCTCCAGGTATGTATTCGCTTTCCTCCCTTATGCATCTTTTGCAATCACAACTTCACTTTCCTTCTTCTAATATAACAGGCTCCAAATTATAGCTTTATAGCAAAAAATGCCACTTTTCTGCGTTTCCTAGAGGTCTCCCTCTACATTTTACCAAGCAGGACACTGCTGCCCAACATTCAGGAACTTTCTCCTTCAGAGCATGTCTCCTTCCATAGTATCACCCTAAAACAAGCGAGAGAAAAGCCCTCCTGAAAACAGGAACTTTTCCCTTCTCCATGACTGCTCATGGTCTTTTACAGATCACAATCTTAAAAGATGACCTTTTATATCAAAAAGAACTACACCTTTTATGACATTCCTTCCCTTCTATGACATTTCTTCCTTTTTTTCCATACACAAAGCTTGGTCCTGCAAAAGAGATTGGAAACCTTTTTGCACACAGGT